GGGGGGGGGGGGGGGGGGGAAGGATGGGCTCAAAGGGTCGGAAGGGTGTCGCATGTCGCTAAGCTCGGCAGACGCGCTTCTAACCTCATTTGGGGGAACAGTATTTCCTGGGGATGTGATTATTATGCTCGCCTGCGGGGCGGATCGTAAACTCAGAGAATGGGGGGATGATGATGATCCCGTCATATTTTAATTTTGTCAGCCGTATTTTTTCATCCATTCATTTTTTTCGCTGATCTGTTCACCCCGCACATCTAAAATACCGAATCAAACAAGTAGTAGTTTGAATAAAACCACGACTCAACATAACATCTGTCACTCGAAACAACAAATGTTGTTCCCGCCCAATCAATCCTCCACAAATTCACTGCTCCCTCAGCAATGCAAATATGCAGAAAAATTCCCCCTGATTGCAGTGCCAGAGCCTCAAAGATACGAGCTGCATTTACGATATCTCAAGCAGATTGATTTACGTGAAATCGTTATCCCGTAACGCATTTATATTCCTCCCGCAGCCTCCAGGAGGGCTCCGTCCCTCCTCTCCAGCGGGAGAAAAAACCCTCAGCTTTGCATAGACCGGATTTTTCATTATACCTCTCTCATCGTTATTTACCCCAATGAATATTTTGGATTACAAATGTGTAAACTTCAAGGAGTACCCGGAAAAATGTCGTTTTATTTCCGATGTCTCTCGCCTCTCGGGCTCACTCCCATTCGAAATGCAAATATGGATTCTATTAGAGCTTTGCTTTACATGTAAATATCCTTCCTGTTACTCCATTCTCTTTTTTTTTGTTTTCAACCTATTACCGCATCCACCTTTCTTTTGATTCATTTTTTTCATTTTTTCAAATTTAATTTGTACCACCACCTGACAGGTCGGCTCCCCCGTGGAAACCACACTGAGCTCCGTGACCAGAAAAAAAAATTGCCACTCCCCTCCTCCCCCTCCTCTCGCCCCTCTGGATGTATCTCGAATTTCCCTTGTAAATCGTTACTACCCAGGGGATGCAATTTCGGTGCGTACATTGTTATTTCCACCGACATGATTTTCTTTTTCCGTTATGCCACGCTACTACCATCCACATGTCACGATGGAGCTGCCTTTTTTTGTGTCTACCTCGGGTATGAATTTATGTCCGAAAAAATGTCCAGCAGATATTTTAGGGCTTTGAATTTATGCGGAATTTCTGACAGGTTATTTTATTTAGTTTGGAAATCATTGGATTTGCAGGGTTGTGAGGAGGAGGTGAGTTGCGTGGACAATGGCCTAATTATTTTTGGAAGGGAGACAGTGAATTTGATTTGAGAGGAAAAATAAAGAATTTCAGATTTCACGGAAAATTCAGTGACATTTCGATTTTTTTTTAGAGAACAGAGGGGTTTTCAATGCTTATTTGCGCTGTATTTTTATTTAATTGGGAATTCAAGTGTATATTTACTTCAATTCTCCTGATTTCCATTAATTTTGATAGAATAATTTAACTGAAGTTAAGTTTCCATTGATTTTTCAATGAAATTTCGAGTTTTCATTCACGAAATGCCTTTAAAAAAAATTCTCGAATGAAACCCCACACTGTCCAGCATGCGCCCCTTAATGGTTTAATTTGGGACACGACGGTCTTAAAAAGGGACAAGTGTCTCAACTTCAGACCCCAGTTCGTCTCCTGCCGCACGACTGTCGCCAGTCCTCAAAATCTCCACCTCCTATTACTGTTCCACACACAAAAAACTCTTCAATCGAATTTTTCCGTGTCACGTAAATTTTATATCGAACTCCAGTGAAGAACTATAAAAGAAAATGCAGGCGTCACCTGGACTGTCGATAAAAGCATCCCACCCAGCACTCCAGCGCTTTATATGTTTCATTTTTGAATCCTCTCCCCGCCCCAATGATACCAATATCCCCGGCTTTTATCTATTAATAACATTTAATGATGCGCAACTGTGGAACAATGACGGGGAATTTTCCACGCAAAAGCGCGGGGCTTTTATCGGGCGGTAAAAAATGGCCGACAGAGTTACTCTGCCAAGACAGCGTTGACTTTCTGAGGGCTACGGTGCAGTGGGGGATGTGTGAGAGCTCATATCCGCGTAAGTATCCAACAGCCAAGGAGACGGCGGAAAGTTGTGCACGACGATGCTTACTCGGTGAATTTACAGCTTTGGTGTATAAAGCCAGTGGTGTCGCGCGGAAATGAAGGATTTTGCGGCTTCGCTCGACGGTAATGATGAAACAAAGCGAAAGACTACCATATCGCCTCGAGGGAGCGCTAATTCGATTTTTCTTTCTAACGCGAGAGTTGAATAAATGAGTTTGTCAGGGGAATTAAGTGGCGGAATTTATGCGACAGTCGGCAGATTCTGACATTGAAATTAAGTAATGTGGAGATTGCTAACATTTCAATGACTTTTCATTTCATTTTTTGCATGAAATGAACTTCATTTCATTTTTTTTACGAATGGAAAATTTCCAATTGTGCGCTAATGAATGGATGGAATTGAATTTTTCTTCAAATGTAGGTATTGGTGGCCCTATCGATCGCTCAATGAAAAAATTGATTAATATCCGGTAATTTGGAAGTTTAATTAAACTTCGTGAATACGAAAAGTTAATTGAGTAATTCCAAAACCTGACGTCAAGTTAAGACTCGATATTAAATTGAATGCCCAACAAATTACTAGATTAAAAAAATGACAGTTGAATCTACTCCCTGAATATTTTTCCAATCAATTCTTCATATTCAAAAAAATTTTCAGCTACATGGAGAGAAATTTTTTAGAAAAATTCTAGTGCTAGCACGGGAAAAGAGGCGCAAAGTGACGGCTAGGAAAAAATTCCAGTGCCAGCACTAGAAATTTTATTGGGGAAAACGCGAATTTTCCCCCGTATTTCTGTGAAAAATTTCACAGGAATCCCCAGAAATTTTACCAGAAATACCAAGAAATTTTACCTTGACAGCATTAGAATTTTTCACAGCTGGTGGATTGTGATTTTTTCCAGCAGTCGTACTAGAATTTTTCTAGAAAATTTCTCTCCGTGTAATTTATCATATTTCAAAGAATATTCCCAACTGATATAATTCCGCTTCACCATTGAAATTGAAACCGCCTCGAATTTCCGAGCAAACAAACGCTACTTGAGTATGAAACGAGGGAAATATCCTAAGAATACAACCCATCTCATCTCAATGCTCTCTTATTGTGACAAGTCCCAAGGCCACCCGATAAACCCCGTGACCCCAGCGTGGGGTGTCATTTCTCAGAAGTGACTTTCATGTTTATTCTTACTTTTATGTTTGAGAGCTCCCTCCCCTGAATTTTTATCCTCGCATATAGGGCCTCGAACAAGTTTATTCGCAGGCTCGATTGTACAACCGGCATTACGATAAGAGGAGATCGCACTGAGGGACGAGCCTGTCAGAATGATCCGACTACACGAAATAAATTATCTCGAGAGAGTGAACGCAAAAAACGTGGGGACAAATAAAAGATTTTTACGTGTTTCGGTGAGATTGGACAGGAGAGATTCGGCATATCTAGTCCCCAGGGGCGCGTGGAGGGCTCCACTTGTCGATATCGACCCCCCTCCCACCGACTGCCGCCATGACAATTCACTCATTGATTATTAACTCAAATGAAAAACAACGCGTGACACGGAATAAACTGAACAGCGATCGGAATTTCATAACGGCTGGATAATCAAGGGAATCCTGGGTGCAGCGAGCCGTGACAATCATGATACCCGTATTTATTCTTATATTAAATAATTGATAAATGCATTTTTAATTCCGTTATCGAAGCGTTTGTTCCACTCGCATGAAAAATTATAGTGGAAAAAAATGAGAAGTTCAATAAAAAGTGAAAAATTGCATTCAAGTGGGTCTGGCCGGTGTGTCATGACTGTCAGCCACAAAACCGCAAGAACT